TAGAGCAATAAATCCGCCCCACGCTCGTGTGCAAACCTTCCCACTCAAGAGGAAAAGAAATTGAAGAACGTCAGGTCAATGTACCAACACTCTTCATCCATACATCTTAGACCCACATCTGTTTATGGCCAGTACCATTACCATTACATTGACAACACTTGTACAACACTTGTACTCATTTTCTTTCATCGTTAATGTTTGTTCCAGTAGATGGTTCAAGGCGTGTCTAGGCGGTCGCCTCCCCTTCTTCTTAACCTCCTTGTCAGTAGCCGTCATTCCTTCTCATGAAACCTTTTCTAAGTGGTCGCTTTCCTCTCTTCTTTTAACCAGTCGGGACCAAGGACCAAGGAAGGTAGTTAACAGGATGTGTCACTGCTTTACACTACAGAACACTATTACGGATATAAAATAATTAATAAAAAATCCAACCAAGAATTGTCGCACGACAAGATTTTCAGTAGCTGTATGGGTGGCAACCCATAGTTTTCGTGCTATATAAACTACGTACCTTTGTAATGGCACGGCGGGTTCAAGACCGGTTTATGTGGTCGCCTTCCCACGTTCTCAACTACTCTTTTTTAGGTGCTCACTTTTCGGTCTTACCAATCACGTTTTCAGCGGTTGCCTTTCCTTTCTTCCGGAGAGTGAGCTTTTGGTCAACTCTCTCTCAGGTCAATTTAACGCTGGCTCAAGGATTCCAAGTTCATCCTTTCCTCACCCACCTCGACAACCACCTCGACAAACACCTCGTCGAACACCTCCACAACCACCTCAACTTCGACACCAAGGCTCTCTCATCTCGCTACACACCATAACTTAACCATGTCTTCAAGAATTGCGTACCTCGTCAAGCATTTTCTCATCTGCAGGAGCATCTGGAACCGAACAAACGAAACTGCTTCTCGCAAGGACCAACTCTTCGTGCCGTTTTATAAATGGATCCTCACGACTCGAGAATCCAGAACAGTTGCAACGCCGAAAGAAGTTACAGACCTTCTGAATGCCATCCTTCGCAACGGAAGTCAGACCCCACGTCACGAAGTCTACTCCACCACCGACCTGAAGAACAAGCTCTGTATCAATGCTCATGGCCAGTACTATCGCATCGCTCTCGCTGCGGATTGCGAACTAAATGAATCGGACAGTCGCGTCCGCGATTTCATCGACGCAGCAATAGAAGAAAGCGACTGGTTTAGGTTGGATGCCGTCATCTGCGGTTTCTTCACCGATTTTGGAGCCCCAAAGACCCAGTCTCTCGCGAAAGGCAATCTCCGCACTGATCCATGCACGCGATTTGAGCAGCTTGTCTTCCTTTCAGCCATTGCATACCTTTCAAAAATGTTGAAGGCCGGAAAGAGACCGCAAAGCAAAAAGCGAAAGTTGTCGGACGGCAAGGCAACAACCGACAAAGCATTCCTTGGAAAAATCTCTCCGAGCAGTCTAAAAAAACATTCACAACTGATTGGAAAAACTATTCAAGCAATAACAAGGGCTTGGGACGCATTTGCAGTTTACCTTGGCTTTCAAAGTATTGAAGACATGGTCCTCCCTTACGTGCGTGTCAATTCTGCTCTGCAGTTTGAAGTCATTTCAAAACGCACTGATGGATTCGCGCCTTACATACAACTTCAGCACATCAACATCGATGTCGAACCTACTCATGAGGCCCAAGACACCTTCGAGGGTGTAGTTGGTCGCCCTCATGAATTGGACAACGCCATCAGAATATTCGCTGAAGACTTCTTCTCAGACGTCCGCGAAGCAATATGCTCGACTGATTTATACACCCGCTCACAAAATTCCGAATGGGGACATATGGATCGTTTCAAGATTCCACCTGGAGGAGTTGTACCATCTCGATTCCAACTCCTCTCCACCACATTGGTACAGAAGATTCGGTCCACAATGCCCCAGGCGACTGGAGACGACGCAATGGATATTGATGAAGCTAGTGCCAGGCCGTCAAATCCTCTGCAAACCAAGCCACGTTCATGTTCACCGCCCGCAGACGACTACACAATTGCCAAACTCCCAGAGATTACAGATCAAGAGATGAAAAAGAAATGGGCTACTCTAGAGAAGGAAATGACGCCCTTCTTGAGGATGCACGATGTTCCCTTTGAGGAAATACAAGATACTGAGGAGAGCTTCGGTTGCACGTCTCCAATACTAGGAAAAGTCCAGCTACTCCTCACAGATCCTCCGTTCAACATTAGAAGATTGGCAGGATCCAGGAACGCAACGTACGACGACCTTACTGAAGATCAAATGAAAATGGTCGTCGAGAGAGCCGCCCGTCTCCTTCGTGCAGGAGGGCATGCAGTCATTTACTGCAGTATCCAACAGTTCAGCCTCTGGGAAAAGCACTTCAACGATCACAAGACCGACCGTAACACCCAAGCTGAGCGACCGACTTTTGATGTCGATTCAGTTCCAATTATCTTTACCAAGCACCTGTCAGCTCGAAACGGTGCCTCATAAGGTCTTCCAATACACTGTCGTCTATTGCCGAGTTTGCAGTTCATTTAACGAAACTGGGACCGTCTCAAGCAGAAAAAAGAGAAATGGTCAATTACAAGAACTTCAACTACGTCGCTTCAACCTATCCAGCTTATCGAAATGTAATTGACAACTGCAAGGGGCTTCTTCCTTCCGAATCCGTTCGAGTTCAGAAGTCTGACAACTCTGGAACGGCAGACCTTCGGCCGGAGCAAAAACCTCTAAGTGTGCTCAAAGAACTCATCAGCCGATTTTCTCAGCCAGGTGACATCGTCGTGGACCTGTTTTCTGGAACGTTCGCAACTGCTATAGCCTGCTTCGACTTGCCCAAACATCGCCAATTCGTTGGATGCGAAAGGGACAGTATCTGTTACAGCCATGCCTCCAAGCATGTTTTCAAATGCATTGCACGCATCATTTCCGAACGCAAAACGGATGTGCCTTTCTCCCCCGAACTTCTGGACGCCGCTTTGTACGTCAACGACTACGACAAGAGTTACAGGTTGCCTTCTGATCCTCGATGGAAATCTCCAAAAGGCATGCCTCAATATCAAATCCTTCCGCAACACTTGCTAGCACATATCGCTGCCGAATGGAATAATCCCGAGTTCCTTGTGCGTTGCCTAAAAAAACCAGTGCACAAGTGGACTCGCGAATTTCGTGGACTGTTGGAGCAAACGGACCCCAAGACTCTTATGATCACCGATTACACCAATGCAGGTGTTTTTCTTGCTCCGTCGACAATCAAACATGAAAGAGCTGGAATGGGCGTCTTTGCTTCCAGGACGTTCGCGAAGGGCGACAAAATCTGCTCTTTCTTCGGTACACTCATTTACCATGACTTGGCATCCCGCAAGGAAGTTCATAAGACGTACGGTGAAGGTATCTTAAGTGTCACGGTCAAGCGCTTCAACAAGTACAGCATCCAGATTAGGATCGAGGGTCATGCCTTCAACAACATCAAGGGGAGGTCGCAAGGAAAGAAGCCCATATTTGTCACTCCAGCCCCATTTTGCGTTGGGGGATACATCAACGACATGAGATATCATCCCGACGACGAAGAATACGATTTATTTCTTAATAGCACACGCGGCAATGCTGGTAACGAGACAATGGGTAATATTCGCAAGGCGAATGCTAGGTTTACCCAGTCGAAGCCTGTTCACCACCCCTCCCAGCTAACAGATACAGATCTCATCTACATAGAAGCCGACGAACTCATCAATCCTGGCGCTGAGATATTCGTACACTACAGTGAGAATTCACCATTCGTCCATGAATAGCTTGTAAACAACAATTTTGCCTAGTTTCTATTGATGAATTCCAAACCTTGTCGTCACTCAATCCGTCGATGGGATCGTCGTCGAACCCCGCGTCCTTAGGACGTGATCGTAGAACACGGCAATGTTATTTCGCAAGAGACCATTGTCAACAGGCGAGAGGATTCTGATGATCACTCTTGTTTATTTGTAGTCTCTGAACGTAATATAGATCGTTGCGAGCGCAATGTCGTTTGTTTACGTGCTGCAGTTTTCGTAATGACTAATGCAACGTCTAGTAACACTTGCCTTGCATAAACCGTGCCTGACCTTATTCCTCGGTCATCCGTTCTGAGGGTAGAATTTGTCCCTCCTTGGGATAAAGACCGGTAGGGACACGTAGAGACAGCGGCAATAATGCAATGTCTTACTCATGGTTCACCACGGGTAAGACATTGCATTTGGGTCCACACGTGTACTACATTCTGTGTTTGTCGCGCAACAAGATCGACAAAAGCTGTATGGGTGGCCACCCATACCAGAATCAACCTCTAAAAATTTAACAAAAAATAATCTAGTTCCAGTATGGCTGGCCACCCATACAGCTTTGGGAAATCTTGTCGCGCGACGGCCATTAACATGTCATACCAAAGAAACTTGCTTGCGCAGGCCTGCGCGGTATACCTCCATATTTTATACAGCAATGACGATGTCGTACGACACCCCCTGCCGGCCTGTGATCAGTGGCCACTGATCACAGCTCCCCACTGATCACAGCTCCCAACCCTCAAAAATTGCAAACAAATTTTGCAAATTTTATACAGCAATGACGATGTCGTCCGACACCCCCGGCCAGCCTGTGATCAGTGGCCACTGATCACCGAACACAACCCCTTTGATTGACGGTGTGGTAGCGTAAGGCAAGGTTCTTGTTGTATTTGCAGAGATTTCCTTGGCTGACGCATCGCACACAACCCGTCTAGTTTTTCCACGCCTTGCAATCGAAGGAGGTGGTTGCGGAAGAGGTATTGGTAAGAGGCGCTACCGCAGTAATGTGAAGATATACCTGGTGGGAGATCTGGGAAGGCTGTGGGCACTACCATCGCGTGATACGCGTATTTCCAGAACCGAGCTTTATCGCGTCGCAAATATGTCTTCTGCACACGGCGAAGGAGAGTTGCCTCCGGCGCGCAGAGGCAAACGTTACGTTTTTGGGTTGTCAGATATGCGGGCTACTTTTCGTTAGTAATGGCTGTGAAGATAAACTGGATCTATATTACTTCTCACAACTTTCTCACAACTATGGCTTTTCATTTACTATCTTCAATTGCTTGCATGATTTGGCATAATCACGGAAGCGCAAGTCTTCGCTTCCGCACAGAACACCTCGTATATCGGCGGAAGATCATCTTGAATGGCCTCTTCCAAAACGGGCGTAGAGTATCCACCGTCGGGATGCGCTGCTAGAAGAAGGTTCATGGCTGCCCGACAAATTCCTGCACTCCTCGGTTGGTCCGCGCTGATCACCTCTCCTTCTGCAAGCAGTCGGGCCCAAGACTCAAGGACAGAGTCTATGTAGACGGAACGATATTGGAAGAAGAGTTGCTTGCCGGTCAAGGGATATTGAACGCCAGGATATAACTAGTTACTAGACCGTGCAACCAATAGTATGTGAAATGATGAGCCAGATCGTGTTTATTCCCAACAGACCCACTACATGTATTTCATCCAATTCTTAATCATCTATATCATTATCATCCATTAGGTTCTCGTCGTGACGATACGTACTGGCTCCAATGCCGCCATAACCAAATCCCCGAAGCGTCTGTTCGAAACGGGCTCTCTTCCTCGCACGGGAGTCCTTTATGGGACTCGTATACTTGCCGGTATCGGTGCCCTCCATCCATTGCCGCTTAGAGCTTTGGTGCGGGGAGGCATTATTGCTGTGCAGAACGCCCCCACCAGGCCCGAATGATCCTGAACTTGCAGTAGATCGAGGAGATGCAGGAGCCAAAACGTAACCTTCCGGGTTTTTTAAAACGTCTTGTTCGTGCGGGGTCATTCTCGCAAACGACTCGCCAAGGCCATTCCGAAACGTTTGGTTGCGAAAAGTTTGGATGCTTGCCGTGAGAGTTTTCAAGAGAGCCCTGTGAGCCTCAGCCATTTGCTCCATTTTTGACAAAAACAAACCGTCACTACACATCAATTCTCTCGCTAGACGCAAACCTCCGAGGCGTGTGCGGGGCTCCCTGATTCCATGCTTGCGACACGTTGACTTCAATTCCCGCAGAGCTTCGGTTTCGTATCTCGGACGAGAAGGCCCCCCCTTGGCATCACCAGCGATTGGTGGCTCTTCCATTCCTCAACCGGCGAGAACACTTGACTTCTTGGTAAGAAACAGGAGTCCTCCTCGGTCTGGACCGACTTATTCGGAAATGCTCTCAGCGCAGAAAGTGGTTTTTGAACATTCGCCCCCCTGCTTGAAATACCCTCGTGTCCAAGTCGCGCCACCACGAACCAAATGACGTGGCACCCGTTCCTGGTTTGGTCCCTACACTGAAGGACGGTGTGGAAGCGGGCATTACCATCCCATACCATACCTTCTCCCGTGACTTCACATCCCCGCCCGCCCGTAGTCTCAAATGTCCTAATCCCACGTAATCTTCACATCCCACGAATCTCCTAATCCTAGTTACTCCCCTACTCGCCTAAATCTCCAAAGCACAGCGAATCCCTAAAGTACGAAAACCATCCTGCTCCTTACTCCTGAATCCCCTGCCGGCCTGTGATCAGTGTCTACTGTGATCAGTGTCTACTGATCACAGCTCCCACCCCGCAAAATTTGCCACCAAATTTTGCAAATTTTATACAGCAATGACGATGTCGTACGACACCCCCTGCCGGCCTGTGATCAGTGGCCACTGATCACAGCTCCCCACTGATCACAGGACCCAACCCACTTCACAACCACGTTTTTCAACGTCCATCTCTTCTTAGACAAACACGTATTTATAAATGCCGCGCCCCAGTCACTGAAAAAGCGACGCTCTCGTACTACAACAACGCACCGTTACCAAAACTGCAGAGAAAATGGGACTACAATATAGAGTACAGGGAAGGAAACCCCAAAAAGATTTAGAGCTACTTGTTTACATAAAGAGATAGAGAGAAATGGAGATGCAGCCAAAGAGGCGGAGAGGAAGGGAGAAAGAGAGAGAGGGAGACAAAGGAAGAGAGATGGACACAAGTATAGAGAGATGGACACACACATAGATAGATGGTCACATACATAAAGAATTGGACAGACACATAGAGAGATGGGTATACACATAGAGAGAGACAGAGACAGAGACAGAGAGAGACAGAGGGAGAGACAGAGAGAGAGACAGAGAAAGAGACAGAGAAAGAGACAGAGAGGATTATTCAACCATTTCTGCAATCGGTGGTATGCACTCTATTTATTGTCCAGCTAGGCATTATGGAATTGTAAAGGAGGTTACTTAGTCACTATCGTGTTCGGGCTCTTCGGCTTCGCTATTGTTGCTGCTGCTGTAGTTGGCATCGTCTTGACAGTTTGGTAATCGGAGCGACCGTACTCTTCTCGGCGATGGAATTGGCTTGCGGCGTGGCTGCAGCTTCACTTCCACCACCACTATTAACGTCCTTCTCGCCCTCCTCCTCATCCTCCTCGCCGTCGCTGTCCACGTCTTCATCGTCATCAATGTTCGCTATGAACTCAGGTCGGAACGAGCGCTCCAGATGAATACCATCAGGGAGGTCATGGTCCTCCGGCGTGACGTACATATGGTAACGGAGCCTGCTTGAGTCTCCTTTGAAACCCACATCCCCAGTTCCAGCATGCATCAAATCGCCTCTGCCAACGAATATAGAGTACGGCGGGATGGAGACGATGGTTGCTGGAGTCAGCTTGGCTGCCTCTCTGAGGTTATTATCATCAGGAGATACGGAATTAACCTGCGCGATGCGAATGTGAGAGCCTTCGCATACCCATAGCCTGACTTCCCTTTCCCCTGAGCAGATCGTGAAAAACCCAGGACACTTCGAATTCTCCTGAACTTGGGAAGCCATCAGCGTAGGAAAGTCCGTGTGAACCTTCTGCTTGTCGCACTTCTTCGAAGTGTACAGCCAACGGCCCCCACTGTTCGGAATGTACATGTTGGTGCGGTCAGAACTGGAGTTGTTCCAAGCTCGTAGAGCTGCCATTGCCTGCCCGACACGCACGTCCAAAAACACACGCGATTTGAAGGCCCAACGGCGCAAAGGATTCCCTTCAACCGCTGTTGTCATTCCGTAGTTAGTGGCGAGATATCGCCCGATGCCCTTCTTGCCTGCTTCGCTGTCAGCTTCATGTCCACGGTTGAGAATGTGCGTCCACTCCAACGGCGTCTGCTCGGAGGTAGACTGCTGATTAACACCAGGGAGAGACTGCATTGCATCTTCACGGAGGCGTTTATAGAAGAGACCGTTCTCCAGACGCGGAAGGTTGATGTCGCTCAAGGTCTCAGGCACGCGAGCATCATCGAGAAACCCTTCAAGGATGCAATATCCAAGTCTCCTTAGTCTTTCGTTGCACTCTGCAAAGTAGGCAATTGAGACAGTGTCGTTGCAAGTCGATGAAGCCCACAACCTTTCCGACCCAGACAGCTCGCTGTAGCAGTCCGGTTCCATGTCTTCAGGATGTCGCGAATAGTAGTTGTAGGCAGCTCGGTAGAACACGATTTCATGGTTGCGACGCAAGTCATCAACATTGAGACATATATTGCTTCGATGCTCATGCGCAACATGAATCGCCTCTAGGAATGGCTTCACATGCTCAATTGGGTTGGTTCTCGGCCAACGGCTCGGCAAACATCGAGAGAAGCGTGTCCACAGCGGCCAAACAGGACCTTTGTACGGTTCAGGATCGCTGTACCCGTCAGGAAGGTTAGGGGGTAAGCTGTCGTTGTATCTCTCCGTGCTTTCTGGTTCAGCGTCCTCTGAACCACAACCATCACGAAGTTCCATGGAAACGCTCGGTGATCGTCGAGATACTTCGAGTCCCATTGACTGAAGAACTGTTTTTTGCACTTCCCACGCGAGCCCATCCAAGACATACTTGACCTCCTTCTTGACAATTTCCACTTGCTTGGGGTTCAACGTGCGCTCTTTCCGGCCCCGCGAACTAGAGCCAGCAGCCTTCGTCGTGCTTCTACGAGTGGAAAACCTCTTCGTCTTTTGCTTCTTACTGCTTTCATTCTCGTTCGTATTCCGAGAAGCCACATGCCGCTTTCTTTTGCTCCTCCGTGTGGAAGGTAACTTAGGAGTAGCAACCACGTCCGTCGCCGAGTGCTTGTCTTGTGTGCCATCCCCCCCTCCTTCTATTTCCCCTTCTCCTTCTCCTTCTCCCTCTCCTTCTCCTTCTCCTTCTTCTTCTTCTTCTTCTCTTTCTTCTTCTTCTCCCTCTCCGCTTCCTCCTTCTCCTTCTCGTCGTCCTTCTGCGGCTTGATTTCTATTCGATGCTTCCAATCCCTCCCTTGCCTCAGCGGGAATGGACTTGGCACTGCTTTCGGCCACGCGACCGCGGACAGCCTTAATAGCCGAAGTTTCTTCTCCCGCCGAAGAAACGCGGACCACAGAGTGGCTCGATGCTTGCGTAGTAGAAGGGGGAGTTGCAGGAAGAGGCGGAGGAGATTCTATGATCCCAAAAGCCTTCTTCAAGTGTCTCCTCATCCTCGACAGGAGAAGCGCTTGTGCAGATGGCTTTCGAGACTTGACAGTACCGAAATCCCGGAACAGTGCGATTGCCAAATGGCGAATACTCCTACCTTCCGACGCCGTGAACATGATCTCCTTCCCAAGCACGTCGGTGACCTCCATTGACTTGAAGGAGGCAACGCGAACGATCTCTGTATAGATCTTCATAATAGCCTTGTAAAAGTCACTCCGAAAGGACTCGAAGTTGCCCTGCCTCTTCTCTTTTAATCGTTTTTGAAGAACATCCAATGCGAAGCAATATGCTCCGTCATCCATGGAGTTGAGAATGTTACTCGACAGATGCGTAACTCCAAGGGGGGCTACTGAATCTGAAGAGCCTTTGCGCAGCTCCTCATAGACCGCCTCGACCTTTTCGTAGCAAGATTTGCTTCTTGCCAGGCGGAGGGCGATGGATGCATACCTCATCATGTGCCTCATCCTTGACTTCTTCTTCTTCTTCGACGATGTCTTCCAAACCTTGTCGTCGACATTCGCCTCCAAAAACGAAGCCGCCAGCTTCGTGGCCATCATGTCATTGAGAGAGACATTTTTCTCTTCGC